ATTCCTCCAACCAAGTCTTTCCAGACCTCCTTCCCCAATAATCCATTCACACCAGAATCTTTCCAGACCTTCCCCAATAATTCCTCCACACCATAGTCTTTCCAGACCTCCTTCCCCAATAATCTCATCCACACCAGAATCTTTCCAGACCTTCCCCAATAATTCCTCCTACACCAGAGTTTTCCAGACTCCTTCCCCAATAATCCATCACACCAGAATCTTTCCAGACCTTCCCAATAATTCCTCCAACCAGAGTCTTTCCAGACCTTCTCCCAATAATCCATCCCACCAGAATCTTTCCAGACCTTCCCCAATAATTCCTCCACACCAGAGTATTTCCAGACGTCCTCCCAATAATCCATCACACCAGAATCTTTCCAGACCTTCCCCAATAATTCCTCCACACCAGAGTCTTTCCAGACCTTCTTCCCCAATAATCCATCCACACCAGAATCTTTCCAGACCTTCCCCAATAATTCCTCCACACCAGTCTTTCCAGACCTCCTTCCCCAATAATCCATTCACACCAGAATCTTTCCAGACCTTCGCCAATAATTCCTCCACACCATAGTCTTTCCAGACCTCCTTCCCCAATAATCTATCCACACCAGAATCTTTCCAGACCTTCCCCAATAATTCCTCCACACCAGAGTCTTTCCAGACCTTCTTCCCCAATAATCCATCCACACCAGATCTTTCCAGACCTTCCCCAATAATCCTCTACACCAGAGTCTTTCCAGACCTCTTCCCCAATAACCATTCCCCAGAATCTTTCCAACCTTCCCCAATAATTCCTCTACCCGAGTTTCCAGACCTTCCCAATAATCCATCACACCAGAACTTTCCAGACCTTCCCCAATAATTCCTCCAACAGAGTTTTCCAGACCTCCTTCCCAATAATCCATCCAACCAGAAACTTTCCAGCCTCCCCAATAATTCTCCACACCAGAGTCTTTCCAGACCTTCTTCCCCAATAATCCATCCACACCAGAATCTTTCCAGCCTTCCCAATAATTCCTCCACACCAGAGTCTTTCCAGACCTTCTTCCCCAATAATCCATCACACCAGAATCTTTCCAGACCTTCCCAATAATTCCTCCACACCAGTCTTCCAACTCTTCCCAATAATCCATTCACACCAGAATCTTTCCAGACCTTCGCCAATAATTCCTCCAACCATAGTCTTTCCAGACCTCCTTCCCCAATAATAATCACACCAGAACTTTCCAGACCTTCCCAATAATTCCTCTACACCAGAGTCTTCCAGACCTCCTTCCCCAATAATCATTCACACCAGAATCTTTCCAGACCTTCCCCAATAATTCCTCCATACCAGAGTCTTTCCAGACCTTCCCCAATAATCCATCCGCACCAGAATCTTTCCAGACCTTCCCCAATAATTCCTCCATACCAGAGTATTTCCAACGTCCTTCCCCAATAATCCATCCACACCAGAAACTTTCCAGACCTTCCCCAATAATTCCTCCACACCAGAGTCTTTCCAGACCTCTTCCCAATAATCCATCCACACCAGAATCTTTCCAGACCTTCCCCAATAATTCCTCCATACCAGAGTATTTCCAGACCTCCTTCCCCAATAATCCATCCACACCAGAATCTTTCCAGACCTTCCCCAATAATTCCTCCACACCAGAGTCTTTCCAAACCTTCTTCCCCAATAATCCATCCACACTAGAATCTCTCCAGACCTTCCCCAATAATTCCTCCACACCAGAGTCTTTCCAGACCTCCTTCCCCAATAATCCCTCCACACCATAGTCTTTCCAGACCTTCCCCAATAATACCTCCACACCAGCGACTTTCCAGACCTCCAGCCCCAGTAATTCCTCCACAACAAAATGGAACCAGATGAACATTCAAGAGAAAAGCAAAGAAAATAATATTGGTACGTGAATGCAGAAGGCATTGTAAAATATAGAACTGTTGTACATTGTGAATACTCGAAACAAAACGAAACATGATAACCATAGCAGAGACGAAGTTCACGTACGATGAAAAGAGAGAGAAAGAGATAGAGAGAGAGTGAGACAGAAACTAGGGATCCTTAACCTGTGTAAAAAAAAAGAGAGAGAGAAAGAATAAGGAGGGAAGGGCACTTCTGATTAAAGACAAGATTAATTTTCACGACAGTATGATCTTAGGTTATAAAGACAGTAGTATCTGACGTAAGAAAGACAATAGTATCTAATGTAATAAAGACAATAGTATCTGAGGTAATAAAGACAATAGTATCTGAGGTAATAAAGACAATACTATCTGAGATAATAAAGACAATAGTATCTGAGGTAATAAAGGAAAGATCTGAGGTAATGAAGACAGTAGTATCTGATGTAATAAAGACAAGATCTGAGGTAATAAAGACAATAGTATCTGAGGTAATAAAGGCAATACTATCTGAGATAATAAAGACAATAGTATCTGAGGTAATAAAGGAAAGATCTGATGTAATAAAGACAGTAGTATCTGATGTAATAAAGACAAGATCTGATGTAATAAAGACAAGATCTGAGGTAATAAAGACAGTAGTATCTGATGTAATAAAGACAAGATCTGATGTAATAAAGACAAGATCTGATGTAATAAAGACAGTAGTATCTGATGTAATAAAGACAAGATCTGATGTAATAAAGACAAGATCTGAGGTAATAAAGACAATAGTATCTGAGGTAATAAAGATAATAGTATTTGAGGTAATAAAGACAAGATCTGAGGTAATAAAGACAATAGTATCTGAGGTAATAAAGACAGTAAGATCCGAGGTAATAAGACAGTATTATCTGAGGTAATAAAGATAATAGTATTTGAGGTAATAAAGACAAGATCTGATGTAATAAAGACAGGAGTATTTGAGG